TAAGAAACCGCAGAATGTTTTCAGTTTAGGTTCTCAAATACAACCAATAAAGGCAAAATTATTCCATCCATAGACAGAACAGGACACAAGTATATTCTGAAGCCTCAGAAAAGTGATGCCGGAGGAGGGACAAACTGAAATTAGTTCAGCAAAAGCCTACATAGTACCACAGTCAGAAAAACTAAGCTTCCCACTACACAGTACATACATAATAAAGGTAGCTGTCAGGTACATGGTACACTTCACATAATTATCATTTTCCTCTGGAAGTAAGTTAATCTGAAACTGCTTATCACCCTAGGATCAAGACAAAAAAGTAAATCCTATTTGAGAATCCTCCAGCTGCCCTCCAAATCAAAGAAGTTCTCAGGTTTTATTCTTTGCAGCCCTAGGAAAGGATGGTTTGCACAACCTAATCCAAAGTATTACTTTTTTCTCTTATACTCAGGCTTAAGAACAGCCTCTGCTCTCAGGCAAACATGAAACTAGTAGACATAGGGATAGAAAAGTTAAAACATATAAAATTGTAAGTTTTCTATGTAGCTGAATTGAAGGAAAAACATAACAGAATGTTGACACTATATAAATATTTATTAGCCTAACATTTATGCTTATCTTCCCCCCCCCCCGCCCCTTTCCCCCAGTAAGAACTACTGAGTCAAGCTCTGTTTCTTGGTAGGTTTTGTGCAGTAGAAATTTCTTTGCATATTTCTAGTTCTGAAATGGAAAATAAAAAGATGAGGTATCTCAGGTTTTTGGAGCAAATTTAGTCCTCATTAGACATAATTCCTATTAACATTAAAAGAAATTATTGATTCTACAGTTGTCATCCATGTAAAACTCCCTTCAATGGGAATCACTCATCTGTAAAAGCTACCTGGGAATAATCTAGGACAGAGGGACAACCAGCTTAAAACACAGCAACTTATTTGACTAGCACAGAATTTAAGTTAAAAAAGTATAATAAATAGTAATTTAGAAAGTGATTATTTTACAGTGAAAAAATGTTACTTTTAACTAAAAATGTAAAATATTTTAATGAAATAGGACTTAAAACTATATTCCTCGCTGTACCTTTACATTATCATGGACAGAATGGAAGAAATAATGGAATTATAGAATGTCATACAATAGAGTTTCAACAGCTGCATTTTAAACTGTGTATGATGATTGTTTTATGCTAACAGGTAAAATAGTGGTATCTTAAGCTTAAAATACTAGATGTAGTGTTAAAGAAGTCATTATTTAACAGCATTTTTGTGAAATAGTTATGGTTCTTTAGCTGTAGTAACATGCAATAGCTAACTGTATGAGAGCAAATGACTGTGCAATGTTAAAAAAAATGAAAAGCTTAAAGCCGAGCAATTGAAACAAGAAACATTTCCCACTTTAAAAAGAAATACATTGAGAAGGGCCACGGGTCCAGAAAACAAAGTCACGCTATGCTTTAAACAGAAATCTCACAGCTTGTGTTGCAAAAATATTACAGTAGAGACGGGAAAAGATATCAAATGGTTAGAATCAACAAAAATCTGTGATTACAGGAAAGCATATATGCTGAAAATAGTCCTACAAGCTGTCTGGTGAGACATGAAACACTTCCATCATTATAACCAATTATGAAGAATCCTTTTAAAGTGTTCTCTGATGTAAGATGTGTTATTCTATACATAAGCAATGATAGTGATAACTCGTCAATTCGGACTTCTTGAGACACTGTTCCTGCCACACAAAAAACAAATCTCATCAAAATCAAGAAACGCAAAACCCAAAGGCTCAGTGTTTAGAATACTCAGATATAACATGAGAAGCCCAAAATACATGCTCTTGCTCTAAAGCTGTAAGTACATACAGTAAAATACTACTTTTCTCCATTGCATAATAGTATGTGACTTTCAGACATACAAATGGGATTTTTGCCTCCAAAAGAACATGCAGAGAACGACTCGACAGATGGAGGAGGCTGGTCTCCTGTCAGAGAAGGACACTGCTCTCCAGCATGGAGAGCATTCTGTGAAGTTGCTCTATCATTTCTTACGGAAATAAAAGCCTGAGTCTGAAATTTCACATCAGAGCAGCTGTGTCCTAGATGGCAGAAGGCCCAAAAAGGAAACAACAATAGCTTCTTTTAATAAATAAGATACCTTAGACATACATGAAAGCAAGTGTCCCTAATTTGGAAAGAATTTTTCTTTCTGTAAGATGAAGAATAAGCAGATTTTTCTTTCTAAGAATCCTGGAAAGAAACTTTTTCTTATAGAATCTAATTCCTTAAGAACCAGTTTCAAAAACAGAAATACAAAGATAAAACTTTAACATTTAGGTGTTTTCCTAAGTAGGAATAAATAGGAGGAAATGATGTTTCAGATTTGTAAAGGGCAATTCCATGGGGAAAAAAAACCCCAAACGCACACATTACTAGGTCAGGAAAAACGTGACCTATCAACAACTTTTACTGCAACTGCCAGGTAGAAGAAATTACACATAAAATGTCTTCATTTTCAATATAAAAATGTGATTTGAATAAAAATATGCAAGAGATCAATTTCCCTATTGTATTCTAAGATCAGTCTCATTTTTTCTAATCAATGCAGTATTCTTCTGAAAAATACTTAACTAGAAATAGATCAACTGCAAGTGAATTCACAGGTATAAATATTCATTTACTATGTTTTTTTTATAATATGGCCTACATATTAGAATACATTAGCAGAATAAAGATAGTACTGAGTTCCACAGTTACATCTTTGTCTAGTCTGTGAAATAGTTTACTTGCATTTTATTTTTGCGTTTTAGTGGCCTCTGGTGGTTACATTTGAAACCAATTGCTGTTCACCAATTACCTGAATAGGAGCTTTAAAAAAATAAACTAAAAAAAATCAAAACCCCATTAATTCTTCAAAAAACAACAAATTAAAGGCTTTTGGCATACAGTATGTGAAAGTTTACTTTAGCTTGTAAGATGAGCACGAGGTTTCTTTTCTTTCCTATTGCTTTTCTGCTTTTTCAGGACATAATGTTACTCCTATTTAATAAATCATTTAAACAACAATAACAAAAAGGTTGACGGCACAGATTCAACCTCAAATATAGAGGAAGTATCCTTAAATAAATGTATAACTGGGTAAAAGATAGTAAGGGGTAGAAATGCAGAGCTGGATTTTAACATGTAAGGGCCAACAGTAGTGTCCTGCACGAGTCTCTATTAGATCCTATGGTATTTTACAAGTACAAAGAAATCACAAATAACTGGATAAGTACATAGTGAGGCAACAAAGAACTGCAAAGGGGCTGTTACTAAGCGATAAAAATTAGAAAGAAAATTTGGTGTACATAGCATGGCACACATATGGGGCAAAAATAATTCCAGAATTGCATCTTCATGAGTTTTCACACTTGGGAACAAAATTTTGGGGCTATGGGAGCTAATTCTACAGAGAGATCATCTCTATCCAACAGGGGCCAAAAACACAAATTATATTAGAAGTTACTAGGAACGGAAGAGGAAACAACAGAGAACCAACTACCAACAGATAGATCACTTGTGTATCATTAGTCTGTAAGATGTGGATCACAGGCAGTAATTTTAGATTATGCTGTTATCTTATTATTAGGATTCAATTTTTTTCCTCATCCTAATTTTGTGTAAGCATTCTAAAAATATTTTTTTAATTCAGATATATTACTTTGTAGATGCTTTTTGAACAGGATTATAACTCAGATTTGTTAATTTAAAAAATAAATCCTTATTTTCCCAATGAATGTATTTAAAAATTAATTTTAATTCACATAAGAATGGACCAAAAGTGACAATGAAAGATTATTTTTTCCCTAGTCCATTGGTTGAAATGTCATTGGTGTCAGACTTGTTTTTTGAAGTATAGGCATATTTCTAAAAATGCTAAATTCCATTTGTGAATGATTTTTATGCTCATATAAAAAAAGAACTGGAAACATTTTGAACAAAATATTATAGCTCAATGTAAAACTACTTCAATATATTGCTTTTACAAACACAAAGCAGACTAGGATATGTATTTTCTGTTAAAACCCTAGGTAATGACAATAATGTTTTGAGTTCAGCTTTCACTACTGAATTGAAATGTTAAGCAACATAGTAAGATAATCATAATCATTCTTAATATTCATTAAGAAGAAACCAGAGGGATCTAGAACAACCAAAAAATCCTTAGCTGCATTGCCAAAAAAAGTCAGCTATTAAATAACTACATGTTACTACACACCAGATCTGCAGAGTATGGAGGTATATTTTTTATGCATGTTTAGCAGTTGTTTCTCACATTCAAACACCCATTACATTCAAATCCTGACTTCACCTCATGGAGTAGAAATAATGTCACAGTCACACTTTAAACAGCTATCAAATAGCAGATTCTGTCAAGTTTATGCAATTTGTGTGCATATGCCACATGCAAGTAAGATTATTTTGTCTAATCAATCTTCTGTTTAAGTCAACTACTGAGCATGCAAAATGAAAAAAAGGATTAAAAATATTTTTCTTCTCCACAGAAAATTACTTGCCCTTCATTACATGCTTTGTCAAGAACTGTGAGGAATCTCAAATTATTCCCATCTCTTACTTTTTGGAAAAAAAAGGATTTCTGAGAATCAATTGTGCTATTTTTATACTAGTTATAATAATTACACTTCAGGATAACCAAATGCATCAACACTTTCTTCTTGTTGCACACACAAGAAGTATGGTAGGGACTATTTACTTTTCTGAAAAGGAGAGAAAAAGGCTAGAGTTTTATCATTGGTGGGTAGCTCTGCCACAAGTTAGCAAAGATCAAACCACAATTACATAGAATTAACTCAGAAGCTTATACATTTAATTGAATTAATTATATTCCCATTTACACATATGCACAAAGCAGAGTTCAAAAAGAAAAAAAAAAAAAACTCTGAAAGCTTGACATAAATAGTAAAACTCCCCACACACACTCCCCCCCCCAATAAAAAACAAAAAGGAAAGTTACCTCAGACACAGGTACATTTTCTCCAAGTTCATATGTGTGCAATGCCAGTAAACCGATCACTCGAGCCACTTTGGCACGTCTGCATATCAAATAAATTTTTTGTAGGTGCAGAAAAACTATTTCAAAAATATCACAACAACAATTATATCTTATTTATATATTACACAGATTGCTAAAAGCAGGAAATATTTAAAGTGCTATTTACAGCTCAGATTTTCTTATGTTTATTTTCTCCCTCTCACTGAATCATTTCAGTATTTCAGCTCAATTTAGCAATAAATTCACGCATAAAGACATTTCTTTCCTTTAGCACTGAAGAACAAAGATTCTTTAGTTTGTTATAGTCTTACTAATTAGTCATGCTCACGTTCAGTTTTTTTATAACATAGAAAACCCCTATAGATCATTTTAAACTTTTCAGTATAGCTGACAAAACAGAAATTAAATCTGTATTGGCAAATCAGTTTTAAATGTTTCACTAAAGAAAAAATTGGAATAATAAAATCAACATTTATGAAACAAACAGCAGAGGGCACTATCACATTGAAATGTTTCTGACAGGCATTTAAAGAAAAAAGCTACCATTATAGTTATTTTACTACTATTATGGTATGGGTTGGTTTATTCAGTGATTTTAAGTAACGCTATTTGACACACTAAGTTATATAAACTTTAGAGATTTTTCTATAATCTTTGGTCCAGTGATATAGCAATATATTAATTCAATCCTGAAAAAATTCAATGTTATATACACCATCATACTGCCAGTCAGGTACCACAGCAGTCTGACAGGCTAAAACACTCCTTAAATACCCTGTTAAAGAATAACTTTAACAAAATTCAGTGATAATTCCATATTTGAAAAAATTAATTTAAAATAATTGTTACGTACATATCCCAGTTGGCGGCTGCACGCAGCTGCTGTATCAATATAGGAAACTATAATTGAAAGAAGATAAATAAACATTAGTGATTTTCAGTGATCTAATATGTCCCAATGATAAGCAAAAAAAAAAATCAAATTATCCGTAATTTCAAAAAAATATACTTGGATAACATTTGCAAGAAGCATTGTCATAGACAAATACTGTAGATATAGTCCAAATGTTAATTTAAAAAAAAAAGACTGAGTAATAATACAATTTCTTTCTATATTCTTGCCTTAAACTAAACTACTAAACATATATCAATGTGTTAAAACCCCCTTTCTTTTTTTCCATTATGAATACGAGTATGTAGAGAAAAAACTCTTGATACTTCTATCTACAAACTCAGAGATCATCATATAATATTACCCAACAAGTACTTAATATCTGAAATTTATTTTGTGAGAATGGACAAAAATAGTTGGGAAATACTAGAATAATGAATGTACTGTTAACACACATAATCAGCTATTTAAGAACCAAACTGCATAATTACTAATTTCTAAAATGTCCTGTTAATTGGCAATTCAGTCATCAGATTACTGTCCCCCCCAAAATTCTCCAATGATAACAGAATATACCTTCTGGCAATTCTGTTTCCTGTTTTCACAAGAATTCTACGGCATAAGACCTACCATTGCTTCTGAACGTTCTTAATTGAATTTTTCTGGCAGTGCAATTTTGCCCTTAATATCTCTATAGCCAATGATGACATGTGTCAGAACATGACTTAGGTGCATGAGTATAAATGTAGGAGAACAAGGTAGTTTATGTTTTATTAAACTGAAAACTGCATATCTCAGGATTGCCTCTCTGATGCTTCTATATAATGGGAAAAATAATTCTTTTTCCCTTCTGCACATGCAATATTCTGAGAAATATGTTAAACTACTACAGAGGATACTAGTAAAATTGTCTAGTGAAAAATGGTTCTTGAGAGGTGAAACTACCATTTAGATATACACTAAAACAGACTCTTCAGGGACCACGCTCACTCTTTGAAGCAGTGCTTAAAGTTTTACTGTACGTTCTTTAGAAAGTTTTTCTCGCTATTCTTTACAGACGTATGGCCAAATAAAATTGATTTAACAATTCAAACATGAACTTTTTTCAGTCTTCTCTGTCACTTAATGATGTACGAAGACTAACATTTCATCATATGTTATTTCACACTCTCCATCAAGGTTAGTTTTTACCCCAACCTTTTTACTAATACAACATATCTATATGTAAATATATCTGAAATTCAAAAGAAAAAATTAGTTTCCCTCAGCTCTTAAAAAAACTGACATGGAATTTTGTAAATTTTTCTTCATTATTTTGTACTTAATTTGCCATACTATTTTTGTCAGTACACCAACGACTTCTTGAAATATAACTAAAAGCAGCTGATTCTTCCTACAATAGCAAGTAAACAAACCATGTTGATTCCTTTAAAGCTTTATTATTTACCAGCTGAGAGCTAATTAGTCGGCTTGCAACTTCCTTGTGGACAGCCACAGTACACAAGTAGTACAGTAAGTTCAGCTTAGAACGTGCTGCTCCTGTATTCTTCTCGGCGGAATCAAGCAGTGAACATACTTGTTGCAAGAAGTCATTCCAGTCTGTGCCTTTCATAGATGATAACTTCTCAGCTAACCATAAGAAGCAATCAATTAGTTAAAGATAATGGATCTTTGATGTTGCTTTAACACACTAGAAAGTAACATCAACATGAATAAATAAGTTCCAAAGTTTGGATCTAATTATAATTTTAGTACTTAAAATATTAAACAAATATGTTATAATTCATGTCTAAAGATTACAGAAATCAAAACAGAAGTAAGAAGAGAAACAAAGCATAAAAATGTAGCAATAAAAGCCTCAATACATTTTTGAAAGAGCAACCCTGCTAAGTCCTTGGACTTCATTTAAGTAAACATTTATTTGCATTATATTTAGGAAAGGTAGTAGTTGTTGTCCTTAATCATTACTAATTCTTAATAATTAAGTGCAGTCTCATTAGAATAAATTTGAAGCAGAAAGTAATGAAACTCAGCAAAATCTCCTCACAATCAATAAACTGAAAATGTGTATAGTCACTCATATAGGTAGGTATGCATATAGTTAAGCCTTGGTAGTATCAGAACATAGATGACTTCAGGAGTACCACAAAAAAAGTCAAGTCACTAGGACAATTAACATAAATCCTGTGGTTCAATTCCCTGACCACTGTACATGAATAGAGAATTTTCAAAGACTTCCTTAACAGTCTCAACAGATAACTTCACTCTAGCAGCCATACATGCCCTCACTTTTGGTTAGTCATTTATTAATAACTTATCTGCCATCTTGATACACTCCAGTACAGAATATTTAAGAGCATGTCTTCCGCCTTTTACTCCAATTTTACACTTAAGTAACAATGCCTACTAATGAAGGCAATTATAATTTACATTATTAAAGGTGAAAAGAGGTTTGGATTTCAAGTATTTATCTTATTTTTTTCCACACTGCTTTTAATCATTATTGACAAGCAGCATCAAGTACAGTATCTTGAAAAACAATCAGAAAGATGTCCAGAAAAAAGCTACAGCCCTGAAAGTGTTACAACAACAAACACTGTCCATCTTAAATAAAGACAACGATAGTTAAACATATCAGAACATCACACTGATGATTTAGCTACTTAAATATGAAATAAAATACTACCCCCTTAGGTACTTGAATCTGATAATTTTTGCCTAGGATGTTAGCCAAATTAATAATATTTTCTGCTACTACAATCTTGACTGGGAGAGTGGGGACATTGTGTTCTTTTCCAATTATAAAATTTTTTCAACAAATTAACTCTCCCAGATACGTACTTTATAGAAAGAAAAAAGGAACTTTTATGTCTAGGAAGAGCTGCTATGTGAATTCTAGAAGGACAACATATCTGGCCAGCATCCCTCTTCAAGCACACTAATGTGTAATAATACTTCCTTAAACAGACTAGAGGAAGTTTTCCAGGAGAAGAAACGTTACACTCATGACAATGAGCAGCCTTTTGTTTTCAGAAGTAACAGCAGCCTTTCTAGACATGAAAAACAATAACAAAAAACAAATCCCAAACAACTCCACATTATCTTTTGGGACATGATTCCCATAACATTTCATGATTAAAGGTGGGACTGGCAAGGTTGCCTAGTATTCTGGCTGATCAACACCACGCATTTTAAGATCCTGTTTTCATTTGCCTCTCTACATTTGTCAAATTTTAATCTATTTGGTTGAATATTTCAGTTAAAATATCTCAGTTCTTTACAAAAAATAACACGGGGGGAAAAATACGCTGGTTTTCCCCCACTAAACCAGTGTTGACTGTCTTATTTTAAAAGCTTTTGAGAATGGGCTAGTAACTGAAGAAGGCAGAAGAGAAAAGAAGGGGATAACTGTTAGAACTTGAAAAAGTGTACTCAAAATTGGTCTAGCTAAAAAAATTACATATGCAACTTCAGTTTCAGAAAAATTATGAGTTCTCCAACTATGACAGCTCATCGTCTACAAAGGGAGGCTATAGGTCTTGTGATAGCAAGTAACACCATCATAAGCAGAACTCAAGTTCTAACAACTTCAGCAGATCCGTACCTGAATATGTTGGTATATGTAAAGTTTTCAAGTCAAATTTAACTGGCACTTGCTTCATTAGCTGAAAATATAAACAAATGGATTGCAATAGTTTTAATACATTCTGGAAATCTCTAAGTAGTTGAACATGAGAACACAAACATATAAAAATTGTACAGGATGGGTGTAAAAACCACTGCTCATTACTGAGGCATTTTCCATTGTTTTCTGGTATGTATTTCTTTCAAGCAGATCTTTGAGATTTAACAATTTATTTATATTAAAAACATAGTGTTATTATTTCCATTTAAGTGATTTTCTTTTTAAACGGGAATACAAAATGATAGGATTTTTTCAGTTTACATTTTTATCTTGCTTGTATGAGGAAAAATACTTGCATTTGGGTTTCAAAAGCTATTTCAAAAACTATGCAGCTGACAGTTCATGATATGTTTTAGCAATTCACTGCCATACAGTAAATATATATGTATAACCAGATCATTCTAGAATATAAAAAGTCATATTATTACCAACTAATAATTTGTGAGGTATGGGTTTTTTCCCCCCACAACACATGATTTTCTGGTACATCATGAAACTGGATAACTGCTCAGTGACTGAGCATCTGAGTATGATTTTCAGTAACTAAAGCATACAAAAAAAAGAGGACTGTATACTGGCATTTAGCCTTTGATAGATGAAGCCTAGGTGTAACTAGAGAGTTATTTTCTAAAAAAGGTCTTCAATTCCACAGATCTGTAGAACACAGGGAAATTTTACAATATAAGCTGACATTTCAGCTTTTAAAATTCTGCCAGCATCTAGTAAATCCCTTTCCAGGAGATTAAATTGCAAGCTCTTCAGCTTTGCCAGGTGTCAGTATCATCCTTTAGTCTGAAGATCGCCAAGTATGCAATGACTCCAATTACATGTCCCTGTAATTTAGTGGGCTACTTTGCATTAATTCTGAGTCTGGCATTGCATGGTAAGGAGATTAGTCTCCATGTGCACATTAGTATGTACACTTACCCCTAATCTCATCTCTTATGCTTGTTGTAAGAATAGAAGCAGTGAAGGACTAAGGCTTCGTATCAGAGTCCTGAGATAGAACGGAGAATTTACAGAGGTGACATTCAAATAAATCATTACCTTTGAAATTCTCCACTGGCAACAATGTCCCCCACTCCAAACACATTGAAACAGTGTTGTTGGGTAATTACTTTACCTAGCTGTCTAAGATTTTTATTTTTGCGAGTGCTAGGAATTCCATTAAAACAAATAAGCAAAAACATTGTTATACTAAAGCAATATAGCAACTAAAGGCTCTAAGACTTTCCTAATGAGCTAGATGCTCACTTCCAATGAAAAACGTTGCATTCCCTGCATCTGCCGCTAACTGAGTAAAGTTGCTAAAATTACTTCATTTTTTTGCACATAAAAAGAAGACTAAAGGGGCTCTTGCATATCATTCCTTCTACCAATACCACACATGTGCCCATACATGCACATTACATTGTCATTGCAGTGCACAGCTCTGGTTCTTTTTTGGTCTTCCTTTTGCTGTCAAGCAAATGTCAGTCTCTGCTCAAGAGACTCATCATAAACTGTTATCACATTAGAATCCATATGACAGAAATTGAATGGATATTTCTTGTAATTTCAGGTTGTCTTTTCCAGAGAAAATAAGTTCATAATTATTAGAAACATTATCACATCTAAAGTTTAGTTATTCTGTAAAGGTATTACTCCTAATCCAGAAAGCTTCATAGATGGCCTTGTTTTGAGTATACCAAAGCACACTTGGTTTTGTGTTCATTTAAGTAATAGATATCAGAACAAGTTATCAGAAAAAAAAAAAAAATCTACAAAAGCACTCAACACAGCATTTAGTAGTTTCTATTTCTTGTAAGACATTATTTAATATTAATATTCAATCCCAAAATAACTCCATTGTCAAAATTAGCAACACAATAGGATTATAAAAGACCGCCAAAAAAAAAATCGCATGACAGCTTGCCAGATGACTGGGTGGAACTGCTTTAAAATGAGAATTATAAAATACAGGAAAGGAGTTTCACCCTGATTACAGATTTATCTGCAAAAATAGCCTCACCCAAATTCCTGAATCTTGTATTTTATTTTGCTATACCTTTGGATTGTCAATGATTGGTGTTATGATAAGATCAGATTCAGTGTAAATGAGCTCTTTCAATGTTGTCTCCATATCCTGATGACTTGAGTACACATTTTTAGCCTAGAACAAGAACAAAGTTTTTTAAAAAAACTGTTTTGCACAAAAAAAATAAAGTTTATTTCCAAAATATTTCATTTCAGCATTATACCACACAGTTTGGCCATATACATATTCTAAATTACTTTTTATTTATGTAGTAGCAGATAGGGCCAACTAAAAATTATGATAAAGAACCACATTGGAATAAAAAGTACCAAGTCCAAAAAAACTTGCAACCTAAGTTCAAAAAAGTAGACTGAGAAGAAAGAAGATAGCATTATTCCTTTTATACACTGGGAAAAAAAAAAGAAGGCTTAACTTTTTTTTTTCTTTTTTTTTTAATAACTTGCACATTGTAGGAACTGCTTTCCTGTTATAATTATGGAAGGATGGAGAAGAGAGCTGACTTTACCACAGACTCCAGGCTAAAATTCTAACTATAAAAATATCACCATCCCTTAATATTATTTTTCTACTTACTTTTTTCAAGCACGAATCTCTTTGTGGAGAATTTTGGATTGGGGCAGTAGTAGCATCACTTACTTCCACTGCAGTGCTAGTTCTAGGAGTGGGACGAGAACTTAAAACAAGAAAGAGAAAAAGAAAAAACAAAAAAGTACAGATTAAGTTTCACTGTAAACTACTTTGTTGTTCTTTTGAAACTTCCATGCCATATAGTAAACTTGCAAATTTGACGAACACAAATGATGCTATGCCAGCTCCATCAACTACACATGGACTTCTTGCCTCTAAACATGTCCAGACAAGGTCAGGATTTGTTTGTCGGTTACAAATGGGAAGGGCTGTGTGGTTTCTTTTTTGTTGTTGGTGGTGGGTTTTTTTGTTAAATGAATGCAATTTGATTATTTTCTCACCCACAGTCAGTTGTCCAAACTGGATGCTAAAACATCATTATCTTAATTCCTACTAATAAACAACATACAAAGAGAATTAACTTGACAAGAAATTGCAATTTATTTCATGTTTTTCTCTTCTGACTGCTAACTCTTGGCTAGGTAAAGGGAATTAAAAGCTACTTGATTTTCATATATTAATATGAACTGGGTTTTCTTTTCAATTTTTCTTTTTTTAAAAAAAATCTCATTTGCTAATTAGAAAATGAAGAAAGGAGAGACCAGAACACTGCAAATTTGCAATTTTCATAAAGCTGCTAGTGAACTTATTTTTTTGTAGTATACATTAATTTTTAAAAAAAATTGTTTAAAATAAACTTTATAATTATTAAAATTGGCAGGCCAGGAAACTAATTTAATCAACAACTTCAAATGAATGTTTTCTTGATTAGCAGAAACTAATATACATATTTAGCTTCAAATCAGTTTTATTTATTAGAAGAAGCAAGTAAATTAAAAAACCAAACACCAAACAAAATTAAAGATACTCATGAAAAATCAATGATCAAATTACTAACACAGTTGTACTCATTCTTATCCTTATTTTGTTAAAAAGGCACCTTTACCTATTTTCAACAGAAACAAATTTAAAAGGCACAACAAAGGGGTGCTAAAATATTATCTTCTACCTAGATAAAACTACATAAAGTATCCTAATTCCTATGGTAAAAAAACATATCAGGATCTGCTTAGAAGTTTAAGCAGTCTTATTTTCTAAATAAAATAAAAAAAAAAGTATGATTTCTAGCTAGGAGGCTGAACAAATTATTCTAGGTTCCCACATGTAGATTTGTTAAATAGATTTTTTTTTTTCCAAACCTAATTTGCTTTCACATGCATTTGAGACACAGAAAATCTTTCCTACTTTTCCAGTTCTCAGCTGGTTTCTCAGTTTAAAACAAGACAAGTGATAATTGAATTAAGCTAGTTGAAATTAATAAGATCTATTCCCTTTGCACATGTAGAAGAAGCTACTGCTGTCAAAAGCTGATTATCCACTTCAGCAGCTAAGTAAATTCTGGTGCCAAGAGCCAGGTCAGCAGCTTGCTTCCACCTTAATGTTTTAAAACTTCAGCAGGTAGTACATGTTGCTTTGAGAAATCAAATCCTTCAAGCAAAGAGAATTTCAGAAAAGAATAAATTAAAAAAAAAAATCCTTTGTATTACATTTCAAGTTTTGTATTAAAATAAATGGACTTATACATAAATTATGTTGTTTTTAAAAATACTTTTTTTTCTACTCTCATTATTGATATAATTTGGATTACAAGTTGTTATACCAAGTGTTTGTAATGCCATTGCAGCCTTTCTTCTCAGCAGATTCCTAAAGCAAACAGCAACTGCCATTTTAAATTACTAATAGCATGGTTTTAGCTGTGATGGTAGAAGTTGTATGAGATGAGAAGTACAACTTTATTAAAACCAACTGAAATAACTGGAAAAGTAGACACAGTATCATGCACAATAGCCCTATTTCAGGTTATGTAAGAAGCTTAAAAGAGTATTTAATTTAAAACTGGAATATATTTCTGCTTAATGAGGACAAGAACAAAATCTATTTTACTAGATAATCTTCTTGGCTTGAAAGCTAGTACAAAGTTTCAGAATCAGGCTTCAACTAAACCAAATCACTATTAAACAAATCACTATTTTTTACTTAATACCTATGTAGTATTTAGTACATTGTTACCGATAGCTTGTGATGAAAACCTGCAGGCAGAATTTATCAGTCGATCATAAGCCGAATGCTTTTTCTTGTGTATTCTTACTTATTTAAAAGTAAGCATATTCAAAGCATATTCTCATATATATGAAGAAAGAAGGAAAGAAAGCTCTAAATAAATTCTTCTCTTTAGACAGAGAGCTAAGAAACAAAAACCCTACTTCCAAAAAACCAGTGTAATAAAGCCATAAAAGCATTGCTTTAACTGCAAATACTGCTTTAGGAGCTCTTCAAAGGTATCTTAATAGTAATTAAAATGGTGATAGAAAATTCAGAAGGAGACACACTAACAAAATGTTACAAACAGAACAATAGTGTATCTGAAGAGACAGAAGAAAAAAAATCCAAACCGAACAAAAAACATAAAGGGTTTCAAGGGTTTTCTAATTGTTCTTTAGGTTTTCATACCTGAGAAGAAATATTGATTCATTTGATTCACCATCAACTGAACTTTTTGGGCGCAATTCAGTTTGAGTTTCTACTGAAAAAAGAGAACATGAACTCGCATTCAGAAGGTAAAAATAAATAGCAAATAAGATTGGTAAGATTGACAAAATTCACAGGACACGAAATAATTCAAAATAACGTAATGAGTAATGTTACCTATTTTGAAAGAATTGCTTGGTAGGTTATTATTTCCTCTTGAGGATGACAGGTTATCTAGATTTTTATGAGTATCCACTGGCTCTTTGGCACTCCAAGACACAGATGACTCTGTGTCGTCACTGCTGTTTAATAAAAGATATTAATTACATAGGTTAAAAAAGAGGGCTCATATCCATTATTTGTTGCAATTATTAGCATACGATTTAGTTGTCATTCCCTAGATCAGCATACTATTGTAATACATGCTACACATACTTTCTATGTTAGTAATGGAAAGGATGAAAAATAAGTTTACAGCAAATGACTTGCAGAATATTAAAAATTCTCTACTCCCTCAGTAGAACTTTCATGAAAGAAACTAGAAAAGCTAAATTATTACCCCATAATACCAGAGCTATAAAGAAATAGTAAAAGCTTTAGAGACCATCCAGTCTTCACAGGAAAAAGTCACAGCAAACATACTTCCAATAATGAAATCTGTAGCCTAGATTTAGATCAATAAAAACTACAATTTTTTTGTTTAATGATTGACATGTCACACTTAATTGCAAGTTTATTGATTTTGGTTGTTTGGGTTTTTTAATATATCCCTCTATTATTCACATGGAACTGGGTCATATAACCTTCCTGAAGGGTCTCCTGGATATCATGTATTAATCAAATCCACATTGTGAAGGAAATAAAGACATGGGCCTCACAGTTGGAAAAGAAAAAGTTTTGAGCTTCTTTTGCGTGTCAAGCCCATGTCCTGTGTTTGGCATATTTGTCAATTAGTGCATATCTCAGCAGATATTTCAGAGGCATTAGAAAACCCTCAAGACTAAAGTCAAATAGTCCAGTATTTCATAGGAGATTAAGATTCTTCTGATCCTCTGAGAATTCCTCAAAGATGAGCACTGTGGTGGAGGCTAACGTAAGTCTTGCTAAAACCTTGAATAAATTCTTGCTTTGTGGTATAAAGTTTAAATCTTGATTTCTTATCTGCCTTGGTGGTGAAAGCAGTAATAAAATTAAAAGACAAAGAGCTATATCTGAAACTAGAACAAATGTTAATAAAAATACTGCAGCACTGGTATCAGAAATACATATTAAACAAGAGAGAATTTTAAAATAGAACACAAAAAATTCAACATTCTAAAAGAAAACTAGGTTCCAATCTAGGGAACTAATGTGAAAATAAAGTATCTATCTTTCAAATATTTAGAACAAAAGAACATAAAAATCAACACTGAATATCCCAATTCAAAATTAAAAACAAAACCCAGCAAAATAGCAGAAGTTTCGAACAAGCCTAACTTTTTAATACATAGAACCTATTATTCATAAAAGGTTTGGGATTTTCTGCATATATAGCAGTGTAGAGTATTACTATTTTAGAAAAAAACCCATTAGATTAATGCTTTATGTCATAGGCAAAGAATATGGGTCAGCTGCATTTGCAAGGATATAAGGCTGAACCACAAATCTAAGAAGTGGTACTGATAGGCTTTGTGATGCTGTAAGCCTAATGCATAAAACCAAACAAAAATAATCTCAGTAGAGATAAAATTGACCCATATTTATAAGATTCTACAAAAGCTTTCAAAAAATAAAGTCAAATTGCACCAATATTATATAATACAAATAAAAATGACAGTAGTTAGTTGAGAAGTAGATTTTAATGTATTCCATAGCCAGGAGGAAGGAGTCTCTCAAAAGCAACCAGTGTAATACACTAATAGGATAATTCCTAAGCATCCAAAACTGTTCACAGAATAGCGTAAAACTCCATTCATCAATTAGTTCACAACACGAAATTCCTAAGCAAAATTCAAGAGCAGGAAAACTTACAGAAAACCAAAATGAAAAAACGTAAATACTTGTTTGCTTAGATTTACTATACAAAAGGTCTTCCTTGAACATGCAGTACCTTGAGTTTCTGCCCTGGCTGTCTGCAGAATCACCATCACAGTGGCTAAGGGATCCTTTCCAGAATGGATGTTGCAATATGTCTGTCCAGTTCAGCCTTTTGAAAAGCAACAAACAAATTGAAAAAGCAGCAGCATAGTACAGCTCCACACAGAGCTACCAGACTAGGTTTTGAACCCAGTGACACTACAGAGCAATTAATCCTTTTGTTTGCTTTTATTTGATCAACAAATAAGTCTTCTTTCAGGACAAACTTTTTGCCTCAAATCAGACTGGAGAATTCAAGCAACAGAGAGGTATGAGACTAAGAATGAAGAAAACTGAGTAGCCAATCCCAACATTTACATTATCTGAGCTACCCTATAAATGATAATCTTATGTTATTTAAAAATATAACAGCTATAAATCAAAGCCTCATAAAATATATTGCTCTGGAAAAGCAAACCATCCAACTTTAAAACTGCCCATCATTTTCTTACACAGTTATCTATTTAGCACCGGCTACAAAGATACAAAGATATACTTAATCAAAATATTCATTCTGTATATCTTCATATAAGAAAAAGCACAACTTGTTCTTTTGTGAGGGATTAAATGATTTTTGCATTCTTCCTGCTCTACGAATTACTATACATACAGTATCATAGCAATTATTTTTTCCAGAGCTGAAAAAAAGATGATATAAATAACTATCATGGATTAGATAGTTTACCTTTTCTGAGGATCCTTTCGAAGCAAGCCATCAAGCAAACTCATGAACTCGGCAGAAGGTTTGTGAAAAGCAGAACCTGTAAATAGAAGCACTTGAGAAAATAAGTAGTGGGCAGCAGAAACAATCATCATGCAATGTAGATCAAATCATTACTGACAGATAATGCTAAGAAAATTTTATTTAATAGTAATGTCATCTGAAAAAATCTGAATGCATGAAGAATCCTATATATACACTCTTCACATTTCAAAAAATCCTCAAAAAACCCCCAACCACCCAACCAGTGCTCAGTCTCCAAATTAAAGTTGTTGATATGTTAAAAAAAAAGCATCCTCCAATTATCATGTAGCTATTAGCAAGAAATAATGTGGAGTTGAAATCTGCTTAAATTGAAATTAAATTTCCCCCAACCATGATAACTTCAGGAGGACCATTGTTGCACCCCATTATACAAAAGATGTTTCCAAAATTCTTACTTAACTGAGAAAGACTCTACTTCTGAGAGCTCAAAACTATGAAATGTAATTTATCCACTTTGAAAACAAAATCTCTCTTAGAATTGAAACAAGTAACAACAGTCTTAATTCTACAGGTCACTGTTTTCACTACATTACTATCGACTGAAAAGAGCCACTAATATGTAAGTGTCTCCATGAATACCACTGACGCCCAGAATGACTGAGATAAAAAAATTCCATTGCAGAAGGTAGATTTACTTTTAATTCTTAACTCTGATATGCCTATCTGTCAAAAGGTAAATAAGCATTCATCATTAACAAGGAAAAAGTTCTTATCAAAGGAAGGCAATTGAACATTCACCTCAGACAGATAACTGATTCCTACAATCAGCCTCAGAAGAAATATTGCAAAACAAAACTTTAACTTTTTAAGTATTACTCTAATTTGATTCATTAAACAGTAATAGAATGTTACCCTCTGGTCCAGGTGGCAATGGATCTTCATATAAAATCTTTTCAATTAATTCAGAAAAGCTGTCTGAGAAGAATGGTGGTCTTCCTACAAACAAACAGAAATGTATTTCACAGATTAGGCAAACTTCAAAATAGCTGTCAGGTGCAATGATATATGATGAGCTCATTTTCCTAAGGAAACATCCAAAGAATAAATAACTTCAGGCTGAATTCTATTTATCAAGTTCTCTTATCAATTTAAATACAAAACCTTGGATTGAATTCTTCTACCATGAACAGCAAAAGAGACCAAGGATAGAACAGGCACCAAAGATGGCTTGATGGAGGTTACCATGATAGGCCTGTATGAATCAGCAATGAGACAACAACAGCAGAATGTCTAGGCAGAAATGTCAATATCTATGTAACTATGTTGATCCAACAGTTCAGTGTACTAAGACTTCAGAAGGTTGCGCTGTAATTCTCTTTTGTGATGAAGTTTTCCTTCCAGCTGCAGCCAATGCTAACAGGTACTTTATCTGTAGGAAACCTAATGATCTAATTTTATACTAGTGAAAGAGTTTACTCTTTCAAAGGTCAAAATAATGCACTCAGAGTCTAATACTGAGGAGATTAAAAAACATTGCACTGTCAGAATTTGAGGACTGCTATAATTTTAAATCATAGTATTTAAGGAATACAGGTTGGTTAGTATCATACTATTTAGAGCACAGTCAAAAGGACAACTTAATAGTATTCCTTCACTTGATTATGTGATAAATTCCATTGTTGTGGGTTTTTTTAAAGTACAGTTACTATATTCTTCAAGAAATCTTAAAAACTTATCTTAAGTTTTTCTGTCTTAACTTCACTAGAAAGTTAACAAGAATTTACTCTGGGCCATGACCTATGTTTCTATTATCACAGATATTAAATAGATACACAAACTTACAACCTGAGAACATTTCATAAAGTAAACATCCCAAGGACCACAGATCACTGGCTTTGGAGAAGTCTTCTCCCTTTATTGCTTCTGGAGCTGTGTACAACAGCGAGCCTACAAAACACAGTATGTATAACGCACTTTTTGATTATTCATTCAGCATTTATCCTGTTCAACACTTCAAATTTTGTCTCCACACTTCAGTGAGTTAGGGATTATCTTCACTTAGTGTAAGAAAACTGAGATACCAAATGTAAGTAGTTTCAAAGGAACTCCTCTCCTATACTTTTACTGAATTATGTAGGATTATACATGCTATTTCGTTGTTTATTTCACTTCTATAAACCAAGCTGGCTTGAGCTACGCTTTTCTAACACAGTGATTAATGTAAAGTATGTTTTGCTATACCTTGACAGCTTCCAGAGACAAGCAAATTGAGTAGAACAGTAAACCAACATAATTCTCAGGTAAATAACAGAAATCACTACATTACATCAGGTTGGGGTTTCTAGGGGATTGTTTTGGTTTTTATTTTACTTTAAAAAGCTATCCCAAGACATAAACCTTCATGAAATCAGAAAAAACTCTGTTACAAAAACAAGGTAGCTAGCCAGTTGGATCACTGATCTAAACTAGTTATAGCTATTTTCACACTAAAACACTATGAAAACTTCGCATATCAAATTATAGCAGTGTATGCACGACCTTCTTTTGTCTTGATATAGAAAAAGAAATATACAGTTCTTATTTCTACAGTAGTTGCCATTTAAACACTAAATTGGTTCTCAAAAATCTCTACAAAAAATTAGACAGCAGGA